GGTGGACACTGTACTTTCCAAGTATGAGCCTTTAGCTTATTGAAATCTGGCCCAATGAAAGATGAGTTGGTTTCCAACTTATCCAACCGTGCGGTATGATACCCCGACTTAACTGAATATTTGCCGGATTTTGTAAAATGCCAACCCAAGGTGTCCTCCTTGGTTGGCGCACCCACCGGTAGGGCACTTATTAACTCGACATCTTCCTGGTCAAAGACCGCTTTGAGGAGATCAATGTCCCAAAAATTAGATCGACTATCTATAAGCATGTTAACTTTTAAAGATGGGTCATTAATAGATCCATTACTTTTTGCTGGTCTCGGGAATTGAGCTGGAATCCACGGATCCTCCCAAACTGAGATGGAATTCCCAGATCCGACTCTTTTGCTGTTCTTATTCTCTTTTAAAAAGACTATTTAGTCGATTTTTTTTTAAACCGATAAATTTATCCAATATTATTGAAAGAATTTATCTAACGTAATTTGGTTTTGAGAGGTCAAAACCAAATTAGGATAGAAAAAAAAAACACTGTCATCTAAGAGGATGATTGACAGAGACTTAATTTTAAAAATTACTATAGAGAATATAACTTTAAATCAAAGGGCTATGACTTTAAAAAAAATTTAAAGAGATAATTGGGCTGGGGACAATGATCTGGACTCAAATTAGTTTTCTAGATAATCTTGTCGAGGCCCAAGACAAGGAAATATTTAGCCCGCTTTCCTTCCCAAAATAGCCCTACGCGCGATTTAAAGGAGTGTGCGTTTTGGTGGTCCATTCATTTTGCGGAACAGTTATTTTCACGTTTCCCGAGAAATGGATGCGTGTATGTGGCGTCGATATTAAGAGCCTCTCTCTTACTTTCTGACTGTTGGGTGTCTATTCGGTACGACTCTTCTGTATACCGCCTTCATCACTTCAAACCCTAAAGTCCCATCAAAACCATCTCTCTTTCCATCTATCTTTACTCTACAAACAAATTGTCGAAACATTTTGTAATCGTTGATCAACTTTTTACCGTCGCCGTCCCGGAGAACCGCTTTCCTCAATCGTAGAGAATACTGAAATCCCGAGTGAGTGTATTTTTTGTTCTTCGTCCGGCTACGCCTAAACTCTTTTGTTTTTCTTTTCCCAATCGCTGCCGGCGGTCCGCTTACAGTCAAGTTCGTTGTTTAAAAAGTTTTTGTTCTTGAAATTCTATCGACTCTTCATAGCGTTAGGTCTTTTTCTTTGTTCCTCTCAAAGTTTCTATTTTCTACCCTTCGGTTAATTACCATCACTTGATTTTATATACACCTTCACAGATCTACTTACACATGCACAGATATACTTACACATACACAGATCTAAGTACATATGCACAGATCTAATTACACATTCACAGATCTACTTACACATTCACAAATCTTTGTAAATATGCACGGATCTTAGTAGATCTGTCTTCCCACTTGAGGGTCTAGGGTTTTAATGGATGTCTAGTGATTCTCTTAATTTTTTCTTTACCAAACCAGCAGATCTATTTTGCTAACTTATCATCTGTCCGTTTACAGGCCCATGGCTGATCCGCAACTACCCACCCATTTGTTTGCTGACCAAGAAGAGCATGCCGGCGACAGAGTGAACATGTACTTCAAACTCAACACCATTAAGGTCGTGTTGAAAGCACTTCAGCCCAAAGAACTCGATATCATTAGACCGTGTTTCGGGAAGTTGCTCGATGTGTACTCTAAACCCGTCTTCTCTGGGAAATTCGCTCATTTTCTTCTAACCAGACAGCTTGATGTAGTGAAGCGACATGAAATTTGGGTTGTGTTTGCCGGTAAACCTGTTAGATTTTCTCTCAGGGAGTTTGGTCTAGTCACCGGTCTCAATTGTGGTCCTCTCCCTGCGCTTGACAGAACCCTAGTCAAGTGTCCTCCCGGCGTCACTCCCTATTGGTTCACCCTTTTTGGTGGCGAGGAGTCTTTCACTGGCGAGATGCTGTTGGCTAAGCTGTGTAGGGCTAAGTCGCTTACCAGCGAACTGAGAATTAAGTATGCTTGTCTGTTACTTGTTGATGGGTTTCTTTGCCGCAGATCTTTCCACATGAAGATCCCGAAAGAACACATGGAGATGATCCGGGACCTAGATGTCTTTCTGAAATACCCTTGGAGTCTCTACAGTTTCGATATGACCATGCAGTGCATTAAATCAAGATCTCTCAATCAACTAGCTCAAGCAACGGTTGCCATTCAAGGTTTCATCCATGCTCTCGTTCTCGTATTGGTTGAGGCTGTTCCTGCAGTCCGTTCAGCCGTTGGTGAGATTACTGACCCCGAATCAGGCGACGAAGATGTCTTCCCGGTTATCTCTTTGAAACTGGATAAAGTCTGGGACCTTGACAAAGAAACCAAGGTTAGATAGCCACATTTTGTTTTTTTACATGTCCAATCATCCGATATACATGTTTAAGTTTTTTTTTTTTTCTCTTCATAGGTTGAGGTTGATGTCCTATCTATAATTCCGGCTCCTGAAGATGTTGTTGGTCTGGAGGATTGTAGCTGGGCTGACAAAGTTCGTGACCCGGGTGTGGAACTAATATTACAGAAAATTGAAGAAGGAGCTAAGTTTAATCGTGGGATGTTTCTAGGGGAATATAGAGGTGCATATGTTCATGTGGAGCCTCCTCCTAGCGAAGTGAAGAAGGGAAAACGTAAAGTACGTTCCCAATCAGGTCGTGTGTCTTCTAAGTCTAAGAAACTGAAGGTACGTAGTGGCAGGTCTAGGCATACCCCGTCGGACCAAAATAGTGCTGCTTTTCTTGCGTCTGTTAAATCTGAAATTGAGGCTGGTATGAAGGAAGCACGTGGGGACTTGTTTGCTCATGTCGCAGTTGAGTTGAAGTCTATGGAGTTGAGGTTAGAAAAGAGTTTCAAATATAGCATCTGCTCTGCAGTCACTGATGCTCTTCAGGCCAAGAATGTTGTCCAGAAAATCATTGAAGAGGTTGGGGTTGATATTCCTGATCCTTACCAACAACCACCTCCAAATGGTTCAGCTAACCCTGGCAGGTCAAGTGTCACGCAGCAGAAGAAACCAGCAGGGGCTACAAACTTGGATGCTTCTTCTGAAGAGGTAAGCCGCTTGTCTGCTCCTGTAGAGATACATTCTGTTTTCTCTAAACTAACTTGTTAATGTTTTAGGTTGATGGGTCTACTAGTAGGGATGAGGATTCTAGTAGCTCCCAAACAAATGAAGAACTCTCGGTTTGTTATATATCTTACCATGTGATTTAATGTTTATTTTCATGTAACTATATTATGATTTCTCTTTTTTCCCGTTTTTAGACAGTTGTAGCTGAGGCTGGAGAAGTCTCTAGCGGCGGCAATGATCTTGTTGAGGCCGTTGAATTTGCCAGCTCTGCCAAGTTCAAGAAATTGGTGGACCTTCTGACACCTACAATGTAAGCTGCTCTATTATATATCATAGAGTTGATTTTTTGTCAATAAGTGTTTATTTTTTAACATAGGTATTCACTTATAAACTTGCTGCTCTGTGCTGATTGTTGGTATTGTATTACTAATATACAGCGAACTTGATTTTGGTGATGGGTTGGTTTTGAATGAGTTTGAGATGCGTGCAGTTGCTACCAGCATTCCACCTGACAATCCGAAGGTTCACACTATAAACTTCAGTAAAATTGTTTTATACTTTCATTTAGTACTCACTCTTGTTCTGCAGGTTATGGATGTATGTGTTTCTGTATTGCGGGAGTCGCTCTTCAAATCGGTTGACCCTACCACTGATCCGCGTGCTGACATGCTGCCTTGCAAGTTTAATGGATCCCTTGCTCTGATGTACTCCAAATTCAAGAAGTGTAGGCGTAAAGATACTTTCGAGTTTGACGCGGATCTTCTGAGCTCGGTTACTGCTAGGTTCACTTCCCATGGCAGAAAATGGCTGGAGAGTATTGATTTTCTCTATTCTCCTTTCAACATTGACAAGAATAGGTGGATTGCAGTCATGGTGGACTTGCCATCGCACTCTCTCTCTCTATTTGACTCCACAGCTGATGTGCGTCGTGGGTCTAGACTCAAGCCAGAGCTAGATTTCATATGTGACATGTTTCCATACCTGGTGCGAAAGTTAGGGGCAAATGATCTTATGACTAGTTACCCTCTCCATCCTTTGGCATTTGTTCGCCACACCACGGTAGCTCAAGCCACAGCCCGTGCCAACACTGGGATGTTATCTATTCTTTTTATGGAGGCCCATGCGCTAGGAGGCTTTGAGGAGTTGGATCGTGTCAATGAGTCTGGCGTTAGGGAACGTGCTGAGCAGCTAGCAGTGGAGCTATATGAATATTGTTGTGGTGATATCGAAGAGGAGTGAACCATTACCCTTACTTGTTGCAACTCTATTATTCTATCTTGAACTCTTGTTTTTTATCTTTTGATCCCATTCTCTTCCCATCTGTGTGACTTATCTCTTTGTTAAAACTTACAACTCTACATTATGGGTATGTATTCGTATTCTGCGGTTAGCTACTTGTGGGTTTAGTCCTACTGTTTTGAAATTGCAATGGTTTACAGCCCACTAAAATAATTGGATAGTTATTAACCAATCTCTGAAATTAGATTTAAGATAGATAGCCACTTTTACCTTTAAAAATAATGCGTAGGAATCTGCAACGTTTTATATTGCTATCAAAACACTTAGATAGTTATTTTACCTTGAACCTTTTAACCTATATTTGTTTTTACATATCCATAAATCCGCCGTGCAACTAACATGTATATTTTCCGCCTTGTGCAGCTAACTTATTTCACTTTTTGTTATACCGGAGCAGGATATTTATGGATATATGTACCTATCCATGGATATATGGTATCAGAATTATAAGTTTGATAGATAGCTAACCAAGAGTTTTTGTCATACATTCATACGAAGATTAACATAGTACAAACTTTAGAATTCAGCAAGCTAGGAATGATGATGATAGCGGCGGTCCAAATGTTTTGCTACTTTAATGCATGAACTATTGTTGCCACAACACAAGCAAAACCTATCCAAGAGATAATGACCACCTGACGGATGGTTTGATCCTTCGCCGCGCTTGCCTTCACATAACTTCGTAGAGCCATATTCTCCTTTTCCATGTCTTCCAACCTACGAAGGAGCTCACTCCCTTCGTCCTCTGTGTTCCTTGCTTCTTGGCCACCAACAATCGCTCTAAGCTTTGTAAGCTCCTCTGCTTGTGACTTTATCAAGTCCCTTGCTTCCAAAAGTGCTATTTTCTGCCATCCATGTGGTTTCTCAAGATCGCGCCACCGAAAGTAGTTGCAGATGTTTTTCCAACCGGCTCCGCACCTATAGAATCGCCTACCTGGATTTGCGTCTGTCCATGATTGTCGGACTAGCGCCGCCTTCCCGCAGTCGCATTCGTAGCCGCCATCCTCCAATACAGAGCTCTTACCTCTTGTTGTTGAGCTAGATCCCCCTTCCGACATTTCACTCATCTCCTCCCCTAGCATTTCGATCTTTGGCATCTTTTTTTTTTTTTTGTGGTTGTGTTTGTGTTACGGACCAGGTACCCTTTCAGAGGAAGGTAAAGGCATGGTATGTGTTAGTGGACCCCGCCGTCCTTAGCTTATCCCATCTCACACGGCTCCTAGTTGCCCCCTACGTTGTTGGGTATAGGGTACTCACTAAAAGTCGTAAACTACACGTCAGCATACCGATAGCCTTGCCATTTAAAGATTTAAATATTGTTTTAACCATTTACTAGGGTCGGCGTTAATTGATTTTTCCCACTTCGACTTCCAACTTCGGTATTAACAGATGACCACCATTAATTTCGCTATCTATTCAAACTGGTTCGTAGATGGATATATTGTTGTTTAAACATATATTTTAGTTTAATCTCGAGTTAACTCTCAATTTACTAATTTTTGGGTTTGCCAATTAACCAAGTTTTCCCATCTTCCTCACGCACTTGGAAATAAAACATCAATATATTACATTGCTAGGTGTGCGGACTCAAATGATCAACGCAATACACCGAGGATGGAACGATCTAGTTCACGAATATTACATAGATAGGTGTGCGGACTCACATGATCAACGCATTACACCTTTGATGAAATTGTTCACAAATATTTTACATTGACGGGCAGACTTCACCCATACTAACAAACACGTCACACAAATTAAACCGTGGCATCCTTATAGTACACTGAAAATGTTGCCACATCTTACGCCGATCTCATCAAACCTTCATCCGAGTAGCTTCTTTTGTACATCCAAAACATGCAGCTGTAACAGTAAAGAATAGACGTCTAAATTTGTCAATGTTGAAACTTAAGTACATCTTCCAATGATTAGGAATGTTTAGAAATATTTACCTAAAGTAGTCGTCATATTCTATATAAGCATCTTGCAAGACGCGCGGTTATGGCCAGTCCCACAGCAGCGCATACAGCTCCGCTTCGCCTTCTTCTTCGGCGTCTGCAATTAATGCATTTGTTAGTCTGATACAATTTCACATAGCTATCTACACAATAATATACATACACTAATACCTTAAATTCTCTAGTTGAAAGGTATCTAGTACGCTTTGGCCTACCTGGTGGCCTTCGTGTTATTGGCGGTAGAACCGTCCTTGTTGCTATCCCATCTGGAACCTCACGTAGCGTGCTTAAGTCGGGTACGGGATTGATATTTCCATTGTAAGCAAGACTCCAGAAGAATGTCACGTTAGAATTCATGATGTTGTATCTATCCCCATAGCAATGTGACCTAGTCCAATGCTCAAGACCAATTGACATCAAATACTCGGCGCAGCCAGGTGAAACCATCTCTATTTCCTCAAAATACTCGTTGAATGTTGATTTTCGGAATGCTCTTGCCGCTTTCGAAATGAGGGTAGCAAGTATCCTCTTCTTAAACTTTGCAGCAACATTCCTCTACAGATGTACGATACAAGCCCCGTGGCTTGCTCTTGGGTACACCTACAGATATGCGATGTTAATAGATATCTACAATGTCTCACATAAAACTAAATAATTGAATAATGAACTGCTATAAAAGTAGAGGTTTATAATTTAACATAGCTATCCATACCTTCCCGAGTCCGGTGTAAATCGACGAGTGGCGGTCCGAGACAAAAGTTAGACTTTCGCCGTCAGGTACTATCTGCTTCAGACAAGTGAAGAACCATTCTCATGCCTTGTCGTTCTCTCCATCCACTATCCCAAACGCTATAGGAATATCTAGAAGTTCCCATCATGCGCGCTTGTGGTCAGCAGATAACCCGCGTACTTCCCCCTCAAGTGTGCTCCATCAATTATCACAACATCTCTCATGAACCTCCATCCTCGGACACTTGCCCCAAGAGCGACAAAGCAGTATTTGAACCTACTGTCGCCGTTTCCGTCCTCCTCTGTGTGTAAGTCAGTAATGGTCCCAGTGTTTGCCCTTGTTAACATGTGTAGGTACGTTGGTAGAATGCCGTAACTCCCCATCGGTGATCCTTTGGCCATGTCCATTGCCAGCTCCCTTGAACGCCAAGCCTTCCAGTAGGACACGTTAACACTATATTCATCCATTCGAGCTTGCCTTATAGCTATCGGTGTCGGGCCCGTCCTGGCGCCCGTGTACTTTGATTTCATTATTTGCAAAATCACTGAAGTAGTTGCCTGCCGGGGGTATGGCTCCTAACTTCGATTGGACAGGTATGTTCCAATGTAGCTGTTCTGACTTCAAAGTAATCCGTGTCCTCCAGCCGCACACAATACACTCTCCAGGGGCAAGCATCAGATAAGCAACGTACAATCACCACGTCGTTGGTGGTGCGGTCATTACGGTAACTAAATTTCCGGTTGATAGCATGGACAGCAAGTTTGACTCTGCAGTCATCTCTGTTCTTGAACACGCGTCCCACGAATAACTCGTCCCCTTCGTAGTCAACATCTAGCACGACAAGTTTTGTTCTTTCTGAACCTATTTCACAATATAACAAATCATATAAATATATAACTTGCCAACATTAAACATAGACCATCTATATATATTTCAAGATACAAGTACACGTGGCCACTGTGGAGATATCTTACCATCTGGGTCGTTGTCGTCTAACACGGGGGCTGCGTCCCTCGCAAAAGTGTGTACAAGAAGGCTTAGCAACCTTAACATCCCAGTTTTGGGTGGTTCATTCTGCTGCTCTGTGTTAGTGTTAGGGATAACCTCATTTCCTGTAGACATGTATCTGTATTATTAGACTTGTATTTGTATTATTAGATATGTGTTTGTATTATTAGTTGTTCCTTTATTTGATGATGTAATGAATGTTATACTAACTAAATATTACCATTGTTTAGCTCAGCTCCATCGCCCTGTCCTACTCCGGCGGCTTGCGTTTCCGATGGGCTGCGTACATCTCCGCTTGAAGTCGCAGCTACATAAACAAAGTGTAAAAGTTAAACATCTATTTTATTATATACCGGATCTTGGATATCTATCTACTTTTTGTACCTCTTTCAAAATCCGAGAACAAATCTCTTGTCAATCTTGTGACACGGTTATCGTCGGAGGATGAGCTTCCCTGAGGTTCCAGAACACTGGCCGGTGATCCATGATTCTGAACCGCCTCGGCAACCGCTTTGTAATGTCTACAAGCTGCCGAAAGCGTAGGAAATCCGCTTGCTGCGTAAGAACCCCCTATCCACCCTAGGGGTCCATCCCCGCTGTCTCCTACGTGTTCCCTCGGGACTTGAGAGCAGATTATGTTGTCGCTAGCCTCTTTGTCAAGCCTCCGTCTGTTTTCTTTAGCGAACTCCTCCTTACTCATGACCTCACCAAACGCAAACTCGTCTATCAAAGGTACCATTTTGAAGCCATCTATCTCGAGCGTCATATTCATCGGCATCGGAACGACATACAGCTTCATTTCGTGTATGTCTACACGCATCGCCAGGAACATGTCCATGTCGTCGTCTGACACTATGTGAATCGGCACAGGTTTGACACCACCGTCGACGTCCATCCATTCTGGCATTTCGTAAGTCAGCTCCACCTTCTCTCTCTCCCGGTCGATGTTAAACTCGGCTACGACCTTCGTCTTAGCTGCTTCCACACCATCGCCTTCTCGGAACCGAATGTTCTTTCCAACTTGTCCCTCCGCGGGAGAGAATCTCCAAACCCCAACATCGTCTTTCGTCCAACTGCCAACCTTAACTCGAACCATGTCACTGATTAGTTCATCCGTCACCTCCATTTAGACACCTGTTACGAAATAAAATGAAGACAAAGTTTAGATGTAGTTTTTCTTCTTGATCATGCAGTATATTTACGTGGAAAAATAGCATCATAATGTTTTACCTTGGTGAATCGCTACCCGGGTTGTTACACGAAACTGTTTGTTTTTTGGACTCTAAATTTGTTTTCACTCTGGGTGCTCGTCGCTTTCACGAAGGGTTGGTTCCCTATTTATTGGGTCTCTACTCAGTTAGGTTAGGTGTTCAAAAATTTAAATTCCCGCTGAGCAACTTGCGTTATCGATTCAAACACAAGATTTCCGAATATTGTACGTCAGGTTGCATTTAATGCTTGTCTTCTCATTCCTTTTCTCGCCGCGTTAGGGTCAGTTCGTGTCAGCCAGTTCGTAACCAGAGCATTAACTAACGGTCACCTCATTCCTTTTTGCTTTTTTGCCAAAAAAGTCAAGCCCGAGAGTATCTCCATCCCACGCGCAGGTGTGCGTAGCCCTTTTGGTTTTCCGTAATTTAGTTGGCCACCGAAGGGCATTTCGATCATTATTTTTTTCATCGTCTCAGACAAAACCCCCTTTTGTCGATTTGCTGATTATACTCTCCAATTTTGCTTCTGCGCAAATCGTCCCAAATTTAAAACCAAAAAAGAAACTGAAAAGTTATTTTATAAAACGATTGTTTGGACTTTGGACCAAAACCAAATGAAAAAAAAAAACCAAATGAAAAAATTATGGGTTTGATTATTTTAAAATCTCAAAAACACCAGAGATATCAATCACCAAACCGAATAACTGGAGATTTGTTAAAATTTTACATTGATGATTGGCTATTGAAAATGTCATGAATAATTGATACACAAAATACAGTTGCACATTAATGGAGTAGCGAGTAGAGAGACAAGTCATAAAGAAGATGAGTCAGAAATTGCCAACAATTTGTAGAGTGACCTGTAACAGTCTCATCTTGTTAGGTCGCTTTAACGTTCTTCTTTGCAAAATTATCTTTCCTTAAAAATATAATTGCAGGTATGAATTTTCTATGTAAGTAAGTAACTAGGCTATAGTGAAACATGAACCGCAATTCTATGAATTCTTGTCCCTTAATTTTGGAGTTTCCATTTTTGTTGTATTAAGTTTAGGTTGTGTTGTTGTGTTATCAGTATATTCTATATTATTGCGAAATAAAATTTCTTTCTAAAATCACCATACAAATATTAAGAATATTTTATTAAGTGAAAATTTTATATCACTATCTAAAATTGATGTGGTAACAATTATTAC